ACGCAATTTTCTTAAAGTTATGGAGAATTAGGTAGGCACCGTTGATTGTCCTGAGCCGGGAGGAGAGCGTGGGCCACGGGCACAGGCCTGGACATGCCCACAGCAAGGACCACACCGTGACCAGCACCAGAGGTCGGATGGCAGACTTACCGAGAACTTCCACTGGCGGGGGACGCACGGTGAGAAAGTGCAGGATACACAATTGACACAAAAAGGAAAATAACACCGTCAAACTGGTATTCGAGCAGCAGTCTTACCTCCCTTCCGCGTGTCCGTCAGTCCACGGCAGCCACCGGATTTTACCACAGGAGGCAGCCACCGATTCAACCCACACCCCCAAGACGCACAGCCGTGCGCCCTGCCCTGACGCACTGGCGCTCTTCCCTTCTCCTCTCAGCAGAAAGCCTCCCAGCTAGGAATCATCACGCCCAGCACAGCAAGGTTCTTCAAAAGAGGGATGAAGACTACGTTCCCAAAGAAGTCAATTAAGATGCTTGACCAAGATACCCTTTCAAGTGTAATGTGTTGTAACTTGAAGAGTCACTAGGAAAAACCTATGATACAAAGTTTGAGCTGGGGTGGAAATGAAAAAGAAATAATTAAAGAATTAAAAATTGTAGTATAAAGACAAATAATATGCTAGTCTGGAACTCTGTGAGTCTGTTTACAGGGTTTATACTATGAACTTTGCAGCCGCTGCTGACAAAGGACCGATGTGACTATTTAAATGTCAGGATCAGATCGGAGACCAAGATGGCGGCATAGGTAAACACCGGAGACTGCTGCCGCAAACAACCACTTCAAAAATACAACTAAAAGACGGAACGGACACCACCCAGAACCACAGGAAGGCTGGCTGAGGAGAGACTCTTCAACTAGAAGGAAAAATAACAGCACACCGAGGCTCAGAGGAGGCGCAGTGTGGAAAATACTCAGGTGCGGAGGTGCGCGCGCAAAGCGGGCTGGTGGCTGAGAGCGCGGTTGTCGTTTTCGGTCAGGGGGGAGTCTCAGACTCTGAGCTCCAGATACGGGCGAATCGCTGGGGACTCGGACCCAAACGGGAGAAGCGGGAGTGTCTGGCATCAGTTGGAAGGCAGCTTTCCCTCCGAGGTTTGCAGCGGTTCCGGGGGTTCTGAGAAGCAGAGCCTCTGGGAACAGGACTGAGGGCACCATAACGGCTCCCTCCGCCCGCCCTGTTGAGCCCGCCCCGCCCAAGCCCTGCGCAGAGCCATTTGCCGGATCGCCTCAGGCAAAGGCTAGATTAGCACCTCCCCAGAGGACAGAAGTTTTCCGCGGCAGACACAGCTGATTCACACAGCCAGTCGGCCTGGTGGTCAAATCCCTCTAGTATTAACTACAACAATCAAGGCTCAACTAGAACAAGACTGCGCACAAAGACCACTAGAGGGTGCACCAAGAAAGCATAAAAAATGCGGAGACAAAAAAACATGACAGAAATGGAGGATATAGAGCTAAAAAACGCAATTTTGAGGGCTTGCAATAAACTTTTGGAGAGCCTCACGAAAACTAATGAGACCCTCGATGCTATGATAAAGAAACTAGAAATTAAGCATACACGCTCTGAAATAAAGAATATTACACCCAATAGCAGACCAGAGGAGCGCAAGAATCAAGCCAAAGATTTGAAATGCGAAGAAGCAAAAAACACCCAACCGGAAAAGCAAAATGAAAAAAGAATCCGAAAATACGAAGATAGTGTAAGGAGCCTCTGGGACAGCTTCAAGCGTACCAACATCAGAATAATAGGGGTGCCAGAAGATGAGAGACAGCAAGATATTGAAAACCTATTTGAAGAAATAATGGCAGAAAACTTCCCCCACCTGGTGAAAGAAATGGACTTACAGGTCCAAGAAGCGCAGAGAACCCCAAACAAAAGGAATCCAAAGAGGACCACACCAAGACACATCATAATTAAAATGCCAAGAGCAAAAGACAAAGAGAGAATCTTAAAAGCAGCAAGAGAAAGAGACTCAATTACCTACAAGGGAATACCCATACGACTGTCAGCTGATTTCTCAACAGAAACTTGGCAGGCCAGAAGGGAATGGCAAGAAATATTCAAAGTGATGAATACCAAGAACCTACAACCAAGATTACTTTATCCAGCAAAGCTATCATTCAGAATTGAAGGTCAGATAAAGAGCTTCACAGATAAGGAAAAGCTAAAGGAGTTCATCACCACTAAACCAGTATTATACGAAATGCTGAAAGGTATCCTTTAAGAAGAGGAAGAAGAAAAAGGTAAAGATACAAATTGTGAACAACAAACATGCATCTATCAACAAGTGAATCTAAGAACCAAGTGAATAAATAATCTGATGTACAGAATGAACTGGTGATTATAATGAATCAGGGACATAGAAAGGGAATGGACTGACTATTCTTGGCGGGGAAAGGGGAATGGGAGTTATGGGGGGGAAAAAAAAGAGGAACAAATGTAATCTGAACAATAAAGATTTAATAAAAAAAAAATGTCAGGATCAAGGGTGAGCGTATTAAAATGTCCCAGGTCTCTCCAAGGATGTCCATCCAAACACCTGGTGTGAATCTCAGAGGCATCACAACACTTTATAAGCCAAGAGTCCAGGCAGCGGCCCCTGAAGGAGACTGAACGGATGGAGGGGCTCAGGGAGACTTGGGCTAACCAGACCCAAACTAACCGGAAGCCTCAGATAACCGATTTCTCCCGACCCGAAACCCGCAGCATTCCTAGTCCATTCTCGGGCCACTCGGAGCCCCCATCACAGACGTGCACCAGAGTGACGAGTCTGGTCCCTCCGAGAAGGCTCCATTCACCCCGGACATGCACAAGTATGAACACTTGGTAAAAATAATGCACTTACATATTTTAGAAAAAACAGTTGTTTATAAAGGAAAGACATTAAAAGCTGTTTTCTGGAGTAACTAGAAAATCACCCAGAACATTCCCAGCTACTGATCTGACCTGGCTGCAGACGTCAGCACACACGGCCGCCTAATGTGAGAGGATATGGGGCCCTAGACCCCAGCCACGTGCGGGACGGAGAGACAGCCGCTTCCGGTCACAGCCTCCATCCTCTCAACCTTCAGGCCCACGGGCCCAGAGAAACCGCCCCACTAAGGGCCAGTTACTCCCAAGTCCCGGGACCAGAGCATCTCTCCATGTCCCACAGGCCAGCGCCCGAGGCCCACGAATCTTTCTACGGGCGCCCTGACGGGAAGCACGCCGGCCTCCCAGGGCAGCCGAGCCAGTGCCCGGCAAGTCTAACGCCAGAACCTTCGCTTCACGCTGCACTGCCCACAACCCATCAGGCTTCCCTGTCGGTCCAGATTCCGCTCACTGACAACGCCAGCACCTTGGAGTGGCAGCCTCCATGCAGAATTCGGATAAAAGGATTATCGCTGCAGCCGAGAGCTTAAAAGGGACGTCGGGAAGAGCAGAGGGAAAATAGCTCCTTTTCCTTACCTCATCCTTTTCGCCGACTCCCCACCTTAGCCAAGCCATCACTGTCTTCCCGGGACCCTCCCTCCAAACCCATCATCTCTCCCCTCTCACAGCCGCCAGGCTGGCAGGTAGGTGGAGATGCGCTCCCACAGTTTCCCAGCCTGCACTTCCACGGGACCTCAGATTCAGTGGACTTGGTGGCAGCGTTATTTACAAACTTTCACCTCCGGACGCGCTAAAATGCTACTGGCCACAAGCCCTATTGCTTGCCGACCACTTGCTCCCAGGGGCCCTCGCTGGATAGAAGGTCGTGGTGAGAAGCAACCAGACCAGGAAAACACACCCGGAAGAAACAACTGGGCCAGTACTAACCGAAACCCTGACATGGGTGGAAATCCTGCGGCCGCTCACTATCTTGAAACGGTCTTAGGGTTTATGTAAGAACCAGGAGGGCATTTCTTAGAAATGTCAAAACCTTGTCCTGTGCTCACCTCTCTTCCACAAACCATTTCACCTCTCCAAGTGTATTTGCTTTTAATTCAAAAAACAAACTGCTTGTCTAGGAAAGAGAACTTTGGTTTGGGGGCTTTCTACCTCAAAAGATCATTGTCCCAAATAAGCGATAACGTGAGCCACAGAGCAGCCTGAGGGGAGAGGGCGGCATCAGCTGTGAGGCAGCGAATTAAGAGGCGTGGTGTCAGGAGCAGTGGAACTTTGGTTTGGGGGCTTTCTACCTCAAAAGATCATCGTCCCAAATAAGCGATAAACGTGAGCCACAGAGCAGCCTGAGGGGAGAGTCCGCTCTATCCGCTGTGAGGCAGCGAATTAAGAGGCGTGGTGTCAGGAACAGTCTGGAAGGAATGTCACCTTCTCAGGTTCAGGAGAGAGCCCCTGCACTTAGGTCTTGGTACCAAGTTGCAAACACTTGCAAAGCAGATGCAGCCGGAGCTGGCTCCTCAGACTCTCAGTCGGGGCCCAAGAGCAAAGCTGGGTCCGGGCTCCGACAGTGACCGGTGTGTGGTGGCGAGGGGCAGGGAGGCGGGAGGAGGGCCCCTTGACGGTCTGCGTTTCCTTCGAAGCCCCCACCCTCACAAACCCCATGGAAAAGCTCCCTTTTAGCAATGACTTCTGGCTCCTGGGACGGCCATTTCTAACTCATGAGACTTAATAAGGATTTCAGAGGTACAGGCTGGGAAAGATGCAGGAGAAGATGACATCATTGCTGTAATAGTTAGAACAGAACATTTGCATAAAGGTTTTGTGCATGATCCCAAGAAACGTATAGATTTCATGATAAGGTGCAGTAGGCATGGCAACTGTCAGATGCTGGAGACAAAGGTGTGCAGAGAGAACAGGTCCAGGGCAGCTTTGCAAGGGCCTCAAGTGGACAGAGTCTGCCCCGAGAACTGCACTCAGGCGCAGCCTCTCGGCTCCCGGCTGCTCCCCAGGGCCGCCCCGCAGAAGGAAATCTGCATCGAACTCTCAGCTTCAAAGACAAATCGAGCCCAAGCGCTTTCCCCCAAGTGACACAATTAACTGCAGAATTCGTCATTACCTTTCTTCGCTTTCTTCTGCAGTTTCAGTGTATCCGAGGACTTCTTCTTTATCTCTTGACGAGCTTTTTTATATTCTAAGAGGAAGCAGAATAATTGAATCACTTTACCACTTTGCTCAACAGAAAATAATTTTGGAACAGCCGTTACTCCCATCACAGAGCGTAAACTGTGGCGCATAATAAACAGCTTCATCGGAATCCCGTGTGATAAGCACCTCGCGATGACGTTTTAGAGCAGGGGTGTTACTAACGTGACAAAGGACAACATCACCGCTGTCTTTCCCAAAAGTACCCATTCCTACCAGCGGCTCAGAAAGACGGCATTTGGGAACATTTTACCGAAAATGGAAAATTCAGCCCTGCCGGCATGACTCCGCGGTTCACTGAGCCTCGACCTATGAACCAAGAGGTCACGGTGGTTTGGTTCTGGTCAGAGCACATAACCAGGGCGTGCAGGAGGCAGCCAATCAATGATTCTCTCATCATTGATGTTTCTATCTCCCTCCCTCTCCCTTCCTCTCTGAAACCAATAAAAATTATATTTAAAAAATAATAAAATAAAATAAAAAATGTGCATTTTCTCAGCTCAAGTATCAGGAAATATTTTCACTGTGATCCACTCTCCTAAGGGCCGAAATCTCCTCAGAAAGGACCCATGTGGCAAGTCGCCGGCCAGATGTTACAGTTCAGAAAGAGAACCTCGCACAACAGCAGAACCTAGACCACGGGGAACTGGCGAAGCCCCCGCTGCCTCTCTTTCACATTAAAACGGAGGCCAGACACTGCGGACACCCAGGAGGACAGCCCACAACCACCATGTCCCTCCGGCCCCCACCAACCACCTCCTCTGCCCCCCAGGCCACGCCACTCCCGGATGCCCCATTTGTGCTGCCGGTATCTCCACTGCCCAGGTGTGGACATCTAAAACGAGTCACCCCGGCCAGTGTGGCTCAGTGGTTGAGCGTCGACCTATGACCCAGGAGGTCACGGTTCAATTCCTGGTCAGGGTACATGCCAGGTTGTAGGCTCGATCCCGTGTGGGGCGTGCAGGAGGCAGCCGATCAATAATTCTCTCTCATTACTGATGTTTCTATTTCTCTCTCCCTCTCCCTTCCTCTCTGAAATCAATAAAAATATTTTTAAATAAACAAATAAATAAATAAATAAATAAAACGAGTCCCCTCGACACTTCTCTCTCCCACTGCCCTCGTGTTCGATCCAGTGCCAACGACCAGTTTCCTCAGTTACTCCCCATGGCTCCCCTCCCCACCCAAAGCCCCCAGAGCTCTTACCACTGCCTGTCAGCCAGCCCTCCTGCCAGATGTGTGCCCTCGGGGCCTCCCATGTGCTTTCCTCCCCAGCATACACCGTGCGCAGGCTTGACCCTTGGAGACTGTCTCCTGCCCCTTCCACACGGCCAGCACCCCGCCCTCTGGCTCCGGAAGACCCACAGGGCAGGGGTGTGTCTGTCTGGACCACTCTGTCCCCAGAGGCGGCCACATGAGGCGCTGATGGGCCATTTCTGGGCAGGAGACCCGGTTAGCTTACATCATTAAGGTGGTTTTTAAATGGGCTGCCATGCCTTACGTATGAGCCTTGGGCTGTTAAGCCTGGCATTACAATTCACTTTTCTTTCTTAAGAAGTTGATTTCAGAGAGAGGAAGGAACAGGGAGACAGAAACATCAATGATGAGAGAGAATCACTGATGGGCTGCCTCCTGCACATCCCCTACTGGGGATCGAGCCCGAAACCTGGGCATGTGGCCCGACCTGGAATCAAACGTGACCTCCTGGTTCATAGGTCAACACTCAACCACGAGCCACACGGGCTGGGCTTCGATTCACTTTAATTCAGCGGATCACAATTCACGCCACTGAGCGACCAGGCTGGCGGCTGCTGAAAACGGTTTGTGCCGAAACTCAAGCGCTGGGCCCTGCTGTGGGATCACTTTTGACTCCTCATTTTCCACAGGACACCCTGAAAGGCCCACAGGACACGCAGGGACAGAGGGGCCCTTGGGGACACCAGGAAACCCAGCAGAGGCACCAGCAGCACCACAGCCACCCACGGCTCTTCGTGGAATGCTATCCCACCGCGGACAGTGCGCCCGTACCTTTTGCGTGGTCTTTATCCAGCTGGTTGGCCACTTTCTTCCATTCTTCCATCTGTTCTTGAAGTGGGTTTATCAGACAGTCGATTAAAGCACTTTTACCAAAAGGGAAAGAAAGGGAGAAATTAAACAGCTATATTTCTGTTGTCAAGACTGAACACTTGGTTGTCAAAACATCAAAATCAGCATTAGCTGAAGCAAGACAAGGCGGCATACTACGCCCAAGCTCACATTCAACCCCCCGTTGTGCAGCGCACTGTCCCCAGGATTCTCTGCCACGACTGTGAGGCAGCTGCACGCGTGACTGACGGAGACGCCCTCCCTTCTCACGCCCGTTTGTTTATTTTATTCACAAGCAGCGTTGTTTGCAGGTGGGGTCGCCCGCTGGCTGCTGTGAAAAGGTGACGATACCTGGGCCTCACCCCCCCAGCTCATGGAAACTTTGAGGGTGAGGCCCCCCCATGACTATTTCTAAAAAGACCCACGTGGCCCTAACTGGTTTGGCTCAGTGGATAGAGCGTCGGCCTGCGGACTGAAAGGTCCCGGGTTTGATTCTGGTCAAGGGCACATGCCCAGGTTGTGGGCTTGATCCCCAGGAGGGGGCATGCAGGAGGCAGCCGATCAATGATTCTCATCATTGATGTTTCTATCTCTCTCTCCCTCTCCCTTCCTCTCTGAAATCAAT